TAAGTTCTGTTTAATTTTGTTAGAGGAAAAGTATAGTTACAGGGTGCCTAGACATGTATTGCTATAAGTATTGAAATGTTGAATTTAACCCAATATAATATAGCTTTAATGTAAATTTATATATATTTAATGTTTTTTATGATTTTTTTAATTGTATTTAAAATACATTCTTTTTTACAAACTATTTTGTATTAATACATCCATTTTTCATGGTCAGTAAAATGATGTATTGTCAGATGATCTGATCTTTTTGGCAGCGAGGAATAATTCCTTGGGAAGGGGGGTGGGCTACATTGCACTAAAATGTTTCTTTGTCCAGAGGTTTAATAAGTACATATTAAGTACTCCTTTTACACCTTGTAGGAAATAAACTAAGGGCCATATCGTCAGTCGTTCCTACAATTCTTTTATGACGCCTTTAGAATTTTCATAGTCTTTTCTCTCATTCAGAAAGAATCGGGTATTTTTAGATTTCTACTGTTCCTTATCAGCGTCAACGCTCTCCTATTCTGAGGTTATGTTTCATCAGCCTAAAATTTCTTATATTGCCTATTTTACGAGTATCCATCACGCTTTGACGTCTACTGAGGTGAACAGCTGATCAGCAAGTGACATTTTTGTGTTAGCCTGCAACGTTGGCAATAAAGAATCGGGTATAAATCTAGTAAAAATTGGTTGTGGGGTTTTATTTGTTGTATGCAAATGAACTTGTTTGAATAAAAGGCTGTTAGCAAGTTCAAAATGGATCTGTAGCGTCTAAAAGGCCAAAAAAATACGGCTCTGTCTACCTTTATGCGTCCTGTGCCGATATGGGGAATTTTGAGATATTACTAAATAATCAGATGTTATTCTATCGTGATGTATACTCGTGAAATAGGGTGTACATATACAGAAAAAAAATATGATCTTAAAACAAGAAACGGTAGAAATACTCCTACTTTTCTGGACAGGAAAAACTATGAAAACCAAAGTCAAAAAGGCGTCCTACAATATTGTAGGAGTGACTGACGATACGGCTCTAAACTTATTCTAACGTTTTTTGATTGATCTGGATTTATACGAACATTTTCGCCAAAAAAAAAAGGTGGGTAACGATCAGCCTTTTTGGCCTATCATATTGGTGAGGATCGAATGAGTCGATTTAGGACATTTTATAGTAATACAGTGAAAGCTCTCCTTGCGGACAGCTCCTATAAGCGGACATCTCTTTTAACCGGACAAAGTTCCTGGAACCGAATTTCAGCCATCGATTTTCACTGTTAAATGCATTCCGATAAACGGACGCGGACACTAGATTTTCCTGTATGTGATCAAAAAATCTCCCATAAGCGGACGCGAAACTCTAATACCCGGACGATTTTTTAGTTCCGCTTATTGCAATGCACATATCTACATACATAAAATTCGGTTATTCCCCGATTTATATTAGGTGATTCCCCATTTACGCATTTCGTTGGGTAGCCTGTATGTAATCTTGTGGCTTGTCTTCAGTTCAGGCAAATTCGTAGTTGATTGAGTTACGTATTTTATTATTGTAACTGTAAAATGGCATCAAAAAAAAAGGATGCTCTCGTTAAAGGAAAAGATGGAAGTTGTTAACGTATTAGACAGAGAAAGTGTTTCAGTTCGTCATTTGGCAAAGAGGTTTAATATTGGGAAAACGCAAGCAGCTGAAATTGCCAGGAAGGATATCAGGAGTAAATGGCAATCAGGAACTAATATAAATCAAAAGAAGGATTTTTTAAAAAAGGAAGGTTTTGCTATAGACAAAACATGTTTTGAGTGGTTTGTGAAAGCTAGAAGTCAGAACATTCCAATCTCAGGGCCGTTAGTGAAAATGAAAGCTAAAGAAATCGCCACTACTTTGGGCTATAATAATTTCAGTGCGTCCGACGGGTGGCTGCAAAAGTGGCGCAAGAGACATAGTGTGAGTTTCAAATGCATATCTGGCGAAGCTGCTGCAGTAGATCAAGTTGATGTGTCACAATTTTTGGAGAAACTTCCGTCCATGTTGCTTGGCTACAAACCAGATGTGTACAACGCAGATGAGAGTGGACTTTTTTTCCGCGCATTGCCCGACAAAACTCTGTCCTTTAAAGGAGAAACATGTGTGGGTGGAAAGTTGTCTAAAGATAGACTAACCATTTTATTCTGTGCAAATATGGCCGGTGAAAAATGCGATTTGATTGTGATCGGGAAAGCGGCTCGTCCCCGTGCTTTAAAAAACGTTGCTATTAAGGATCTACCAGCGACTTGGAAATCCAACAAAAAGGCATGGATGACCCGAGAAATCATGTCTGAGTGGTTAGTCGAATTCGACCGGAAAATGAGAATCCAAAAAAGGCAAGTTCTTTTATTTTTAGACAATGCATGCTCTCATCCTCGTGATATGAAAATGAAAAATGTGAAAATTATATTTTTACCGCCAAACACAACTTCTGTTTGTCAGCCCATCGATCAAGGTGTCATACAGAACTTTAAATTTTATTATCGGCACTTAAAACATATTTTAACAAAAATTGACGATGGTCAAAGCTTATCTGAGCTTACAAAGTCTATCAATGTGTTAGAAGCTTTGTATTTTATAAAAACAGCATGGAATAAAGTAAATTCCTCTACAATTAAAAACTGTTTTGGCAAAGCTGGATTCAGAAAAAGTGAATGTAGCTCAGAATTTGCTGAGCAAAATTATTGCGATGCTGAAGACGATCTGCCCTTAGCGACACTTGCTCAGTTACTGCGACATGCCAAACATTTAGGAGTAGCAGATCCCCAGAAAGTAGATGATTTCCTGGCCATAGACAATAACAAAACAACAGAAGAAAATGCCATTGGCAACTTTTCGAATTTGGTTGTAGAAAGCCCAGGCCAACTTGAATATGGTAGTCCAAACGACTCAGAAGAAGAAGTGGAACTGGTGGACTCACTAAGCGGTTCAAAAACGATAAATTCATATGGGGAAGCTCTAAATCATATTTCTATATTGAAAAAATTTGCTAAAGATGATTTCACTGCATTTCAACATTTGAAAAATTTAGAAAGTTATTACGAAAATTGTCTCCTTCAGCAAAAGATGGTGAAATTTCGTCAGACAAACATTTTAAACTTTTTTCAACAAGCTAAAGAATAATGTTTTTTTTAAATTCTCGTACCATGTATTGAAGCATTTATGTTTTTGTATGCGTATATGTACATATATTACATAGATATATAGCATAAATACATACTTTAAAAATGTGGCGAGTTTCTGTTTCATTTTTCTCATGATTATAATACCTCATTTCCTCATGATTATATACCCCGTTATTTATACTCTATACTTACATACTCTCTTTTAAACGGACACCTCCCATAAGCGGACAAAAGTTACGGAACCGTGAGTGTCCGCTTATGGGAGCTTTCACTGTATATACTAAGTGACATATAAATCCGAACACCCAGTTTAAATGGTTTTATTTTAATAAAAGTTGGTGAATGTATTTATCTTACTGTAAATAACAAGTGAAAAAATTTTCAGCCTTATCAGTTGGACATTCCGGTTTTTATACTGCTTTTTTTTTAATTTACTAACGCTCTAAAAATGAATATTTCAGCCGCAGTAAAGAATCAACGTTGGCGGATTTTGGTTCTTGACATCCTTTACGATCGGTTACGATGCCTAGAGTACGGAGACCTGTACGATTTCGTCAACTTAGTGAGTTTGATAGGAGCCGTATACTGGGACTTCGGGAAGCTGGACTTTCTTTTCGGGCAATTGCAGTTAGAGTGCAAAGAAGTGGTTAGGTGTTGTCAGACATGGCTTCGAGAAGGCCGTACGCAAAGAGCAAGGGGCACTGGACGCCGCCGTAGAACAACAGACCGTGAAGATCGCCGCCTAAGATTATTGGCCTTAATGGACCGTTTCTCCACTACCAGCTCCATTGCAAATGAATGGTTTGCAGAACACGGAAGACCTATTGGCATGCGAAGTGTTTACCGACGAATGAGAAGTTTTGGCTTGTTTTCATACCGGCCACACTGGGTCCTCCCTTTAACTCGAGAACACCGACGTAATCGCCTTGAGTGGTGCAGACAACGGTCACTCTGGGATCAGGAATGGAACAGTATTGTCTTTAGTGACGAGTCTCGATTTTGTTTAGGCATGCACGATAGTCGTGCCAGGGTTAGAAGGCGACGTGGTGAAAGGAGGAATCCACAGTTTTTTGTTGAAAGACATGTTCATCACACTGTTGGAGTTATGGTTTGTGGTGCTATAGCTTATGGTTCCAGGTCACCTTTAATCTTCATCAGAGGATGTTACATATATTGAAAAGTGATATTTTGTCGTTTTTTGATATTTCGTAGGTTTTTCTACAAGATGTTATACACTTGTGAACTCGTTTTGTAACTGTACCTGGTGCCTAAACGTCAGCGAACAGCGATCATAGCGAGCAAATGTGGAGTGAACTATTTCACATTAAAAAATACCTAGACTGGGAGATGACGGCTTTTTTAGATAATACCCCTGCGGCCCCCAAATGACCAAAAATCAAACGAAATCTCTTTAAAATGAGTACCCCCTGCTATTCAATTTTTCTCAATAGCAAAGTAGGGCCCGCTGTTGCCTCTACACTTAAGTTGTTATCTCCCAAAAATACCTAAGGCAGACGCGGCACTGCATTTGGGCGGAATCATTTGTTGGGGAATTGATGCGATTGAGTGCTGCAAGCGACTTGGCTTTCTGAGAACGAATGCCTTTGTGATAATTTAGGAGCGAGGGGGATCCGCGATCGAAACATGATGACCAGGGTAGGGGGTCCTGCATCAGTGCTTCTGACAGCAAATGATAACAGAGTAAAAATTTGACCGGACATATGGCAACCCTATCTGTACGGCCTAAGATGGTCCTGGGCAGACGTATGTTTGTTCTGAAAATAAAAAAATCTATGAATATTTGCACGTGTCGCCCCCACGAGACTGACATACTTACATATATGTGGGATGATTAAAACAACATCAACAAGAAAATTAATATCAATTTAATTACCATAGAAAAATACATTCTGCATTGAAAAACATAATTTTTTTATTTCTTATAGAAAAACCTTTAGCATACACGTATCAGTCTCAAAACCTGCACAGCTGTCTTTCATGTTTATTATACCAGTTCATCAGTTTTACTTTTAGACGTGTTTTGATATCATCTGAAGCGAATATATAATCTACAGAATTACAAGTTGTCTGCCACAAGTCTTTTGGTTTTAGGCCGTGGTGTTCTGCTACCAGTGTGTACTCTTTTGTAAGGCTTGTACCAAAGACTCCTTTGTCATCAGTCTGAAAATGAATATATGTTTCAATGACTTACTGATCTTCAATGAACAAGAAATATGTGATGTTGTGAAGCCCGAAATGGACTCCAAAGCGTAACTCAAAGTGTCCCTGAATAGAAAAAATGTATTATAAGGATCATCATTTCAGACATCTCATTCCTTTTTTTCAGATTATTATGCATATTGGCATTGATTAACATGTTCTACCAGAAGATGGGAAAAAACAAAATTTGGCCAAATCGTTTTTATTCATTATAGGACATATCAAAAAACTAATGCAAGTTTTTCATCAGCACTTTTTAGGCATTGCATGATGGTGTTTTTAAACTTTGTGCCCGACCTTATATTTGTTCTCGTAGTTATAAAGAAGGACCAGTCGCCTGGCCTCCACGATCCCCTGACCTAAATCCATTAGATTTCTTTGTGTGGGGATTTCTAAAAGAAAAAGTGTACCAGACTCCCGTAACCACAAGAGATATGCTAATAGACAGAATCAGGAATGCATGTGATGAAATAAGGCCTTATTTGAATAATGCTATACCACGTTCGATCATTCGTAGATGTGAATGGTGTATTGAACAATTGGGTTTACATTTTGAGCAACTACTTTATATTTTGTATGTTTGTCCTAACTATCCAATAGCATTTTAGTTGTAAATAATTAATTTAATTTGTTAAAAATAATATTGGAAAATTAAACAAATTAATATTCTGTTTTTTTGTGTTTATTTGGAGTTAGGAATTATTGCTGTGTTTAAAAACACAATCTAAACGATCATCTTAATTACTTGTAATGCCCAAATCGAAAATGTAAAAAAAATATTATTTTCCCATAAATAATTAAAAATGCATAGAACCTTAAAAATCGAAATATCTCAAAAACGCCTAACTGTAACGAAAACTCACAGGAAAGCTTTTTTATGTTGAAAAGTGCGAAGAATCAGTTTTTTTATTCAAAAAGCAAAAAATTGCACTAAGAAAATTTTTTCGGTCATTTTAATACACTAAGGTACAGTAGAGAGCGCCCTCTAGCGGCTACAGTAAAACTATGCCCATGGTTCGTTTTGTCGTACCAAAAAACCCTTGTATACCAATTTTCACTATTATACCTCAAATATTGTTCGAAATATTTAAAAAAAACTATTTTAGAAAGTAAATTTAAACACCCTGTATTTCGGAAGCCACGCATTTTTCGACCCATGTTTATATAGACTTTATGCATTAATTTTAAAAGTTCTATCGAATCTTAAAGTTATGCAACAATAAACTGAAACACCCTGTATATATATAATAACAATAACAATAACAAAAAGTAGGAAAACAATGGGCAAAATCCGCAAAAAAGGGAGAAAGTGGATTTTTAGCAGAAAATAGGATAGGTAACCCGAGCGATACGTATTTCTGCTGGTTGGCTTCATCAGGCCCGAAATGAATGCACATATGAAACTACAAAAGTAGATACACATGCCCACACATCCGGATACGGGTGTAACCTGAGGAAACGAAGATGGAGAGGGAAAAAACAACACACGAAGTCCACAACAAGAGCCAACGTACACATTGTAGTATAAAATGGCTAGAAGACCTCGAATTTTCAAGGAGATATCTAACCACAACCACGCGGCCGGGTATAGCCACTTGCTGTGGTACTTCAAGCCCAAAGGATCTACAAAGAGAAAATGATCATGCGGAGAAAGATTTCAGGCCTGATGAAGCCAACCAGCAGAAATACGTATCGCTCGGGTTACCTATCCTATTTTCTGCTCGCATCCACTTTTCTCCTTTTTGCGCATTTTGCCCATTATTTTAATACTTTTTGTTATATACCTTTCGCCGCATGATCATTTTCTCTTTATATATATATATATATATATATAACTTGAGACGTGGTCATTGTCGTCTAGACCAGTTAGGTGAAAAATTAAAGCTTCCGCCTTTTGTTGGGTACTTCGACAAAATTTAAGCAAAGAGGACTCTTTATACTTTTTTAATTCTCTCTAGCTTTCAATGGACTTTGCCATCATCATCAGGAGAGTAGTATGTGAGGATGTTGCTAATTGTTGTTTACGTATAGGATGAGGGAAACGTCCAGTAACATGGTGAGAGCTGGATAGATGGTACAATGGTCAAAATTATATAAAATATACACAACTGTGTGACAAGAACAAGTTAAAAACAGATTACAAATTTTTTTTTATTCCATGACCACCATTTTGTGCAATCATCAAGTGGCTTCACGATGTAATGCTTCGAGCAGTTTTAAAAAAAAAATTAATCTGTTTTTAACTTGTTCTTGTCACACAATTGTGTATATTTTATATAATTTTGACCATTGTACCATCTATCCAGCTTTCACCATGTTACTGTGCGTTTCCCTCATCCTAAACGTAAACAACAATTAGCAACATCCTCACATACTACTCTCCTGATGATGATGGCAAAGTCCATTGAAAGCTAGAGAGAATTAAAAAAAGTATAAAGAGTCCTCTTTGCTTAAATTTTGTCGAAGTACCCAACAAAAGGCGGAAGCTTTAATTTTTCACCTAACTGGTCTAGACGACAATGACCACGTCTCAAAAAAAAAATATATATATATATATATAGTGCTTTTAGCCAAGCTGAATTAAAATTCAACGTCAGCTTGGGAAGAATTTTCTGTTCATTGACAACTTTGTCATTGTTAATTTAAAACAGTTTAATTCATTTCGTGAAGCTTAGGAGAACGAGGACAGCACCCTCGAAAACGTTCACACACGACAAAACGTACAGCGAGAGGGAAAATAGTGAATGTTTTCAATGAAAACGAGTTGGATCGAAAAAAGTGAGTCGCCAGCATCACTGAAATATAAAAATTTTTATCAGCGTGAAACGAAATTATTACGCACTAGAGTAATATTTTAACTTCAAGAATGATAAACATTTTGGCTTACACATATGCAATGAGGTAAAGAATTCCTGATCCACTCACGAATGTGATGTTCTGGATAGCTCTTTGTAGTTCCACATATCACATTAGAGGTAAGGCAGCACTCTGAAATAAGACAAAATCTGCATAAACTTTGCCTAAAGAGTATCAAATATCTAACTTAGTATTTTTATAGGACCACATGATCGCAACACTTTCTGCTTCAAATTTATAATAAAACATACTAAGATAAAACAGAAATAAAAATAAAAGGGTTGCTCCTCTGCAGTGACATTGAAAACAAATGCTGAAACAAAACAATACACAATTTATGAGACTTGTTTTTAATCTGAGTGCTGTGGACAGAAAATTTTTGTTTATAAAAATAATAAAGCATTTATTGCCCAACAGTACAGATACCATTTAGAGAGCAATACATAGTACAATGGTTTAATTTACACTGTCTGTGTGCCATGAAGTGAAAAAAAAACACAAAATAGCGAAAGGCGCTTTAAGTAGAGAGAAAAGAAACTATGAGTATGATCAATAGGTATTAGAAAAAAAGGAATATATATAGCTACATCATGTAACGTTCACACATAAATATACATACAACACACGAAAACGCGTACAGAAAGAGGTAAAAAAATCAAAGATGTGAGCGTATAATAAAGGGTCGTCCAATAGGGACGCAGGAAAGTAAACGTCAATTTGACATAGACGCCATCTTTGTTTTCTGTCACCGACATGTCATTTTGTTAGTTGAATGTTTACCACTGATCGCTATGGAGTCGTATTCGATTGAAGACCGCATTAAAGTTATTCAAGAGCACTACAAAAATGGTGCAAAAATAAAAAACACGTTTCGCGCGCTTCGTGAACATTTCGGTCGCAACAACCGCCCAAACGAAACAACCATCGGTCGTCTGGTGCGTAAATTCTAGGCAACAGGTTCTGTGGCAAATCTGCCAGGCTCTGGCCGGCCAAGGAGCGTTCGCACACATAAATATACATACAACACACGAAAACGCGTACAGAAAGAGGTAAAAAAATCAAAGATGTGAGCGTATAATAAAGGGTTGTCCAATAGGGACGCAGGAAAGTAAACGTCAATTTGACATAGACGCCATCTTTGTTTTCTGTCACCGACATGTCATTTTGTTAGTTGAATGTTTACCATTGATCGCTATGGAGTCGTATTCGATTGAAGACCGCATTAAAGTTATTCCAGAGCACTACAAAAATGGTGCAAAAATAAAAAACACGTTTCGCGCGCTTCGTGAACATTTCGGTCGCAACAACCGCCCAAACGAAACAACCATCGGTCGTCTGGTGCGTAAATTCTAGGCAACAGGTTCTGTGGCAAATCTGCCAGGCTCTGGCCGGCCAAGGAGCGTTCGCACACCGGAAAATATTGCTGTTGTGAAGGAGAGTGTGAGAGACGATCCGAAACAATCAACAACGCGTCGATCCCAAGAATTGGGCATTTCGAGAACCAGTTTGTTCCGCATTCTCCACAAGGATTTGAATGTACACGCCTACAAGATCCAATTGACGCAAGAGCTGCGTCGGGCCGACCATTTTTCGCGCCGAACGTTCTCAGATTGGCTCCTTGAACACCGCCAAATTGATGCCAATTTTTCATCAAAAATCATGTTCAGCGACGAAGCGCATTTCACTTTGAATGGGACGGTAAACAAGCAAAACTGCCGCATCTGGGCGAACGAAAATCCCCGTGAGTATCAAGATGCATCCTCAAAAAGTGACTGTGTGGTGTGCATTGTGGTCAAAAGGCGTCATCGGAGCTTACTTTTTCGAAAATGCGGCCGGGGACGCCGTTACCGTCAATTCTGAGCGATATCACGTGATGATAGAGGACTATTTTTTGCCGCAACTTGAAGGAATGGATATGGACGATGTTTATTTCCAACAAGAAGGTGCAACATGCAACACAACCAACGTCAATATCCATCGATTGCAGTCCTTCTTCGGTGATCGCGTGATTTCGCGCAGAGGAAATGTGCCATGGTCACCAAGATCGTGCGATTTGACTCCCTTGGACTTCTTTTTATGGGGATATTTAAAAAGCAAAGTCTACGTCAACAAACCAGCCACCCTCCAAGAACTCTAAAAGAACATCATTGCCGAGATAAATGCCATAGAACCAACCATGTTGCAAAATGTCATTGAAAATTTCGACCATCGCGTGGACGTCTGTAAATCCAGTCGTGGTGAACATTTGAGCGATATTATTTTTCATACAGTTTTGGACAACCCCATATATCGGTGCTTTAGATAAAATATTTGTCTGTGCCATCTTGCAGAAAAAATAAACTTTATATTTGGATGTCAAACTAGGTACCAGGAAGTCAATTTGCGATAACAAAACAGGACAGTCGATGTTACCATGCGGTAATGGTGTAAAAAAATATGATCGACGCCTGCTTTCTGCGTTTTTCCATCCTCTTGGAGGATAGACACCATCACTATTATGGTTCTAAATAATTTCACTGTATTCTAATTTACTTATAACAAGCACTGAAAATAACTTCATAAGCATTGTGATATTGAAAATCATACAATTTCTGACAATAATGCCATATATGCGATACGCATTATTTATAATTTCACTGGTGTGGTAGTTAAACGTGAGCTGACAATCGAAATAAAAATTTGGCTTTCCAGGTGAAGGTATTAATATACCATATTTGTAAAAAAATTATTTGTTGTTGGAGGTTTTCACAAGTTTGCCAGCTATAAACAGATGAGTAAAGCTTCAGGCCATTAGCAAACATAAGCTTCTTAATGAAATGTTATGTTAGTATAGATTTGAAGTAGAAAGTATTGCAATTATGCGCTCATATGAAACTAAATATAAATGAAGATATGAATATGAACTTGGGGCTTTATAAAACAATCAAAAGCTAGAATGAAAAAATGCGAAGAGTACTAGAAAACAAATCTACCTAGCCATTAAACAAAAAACGATTTTTTAAATAATCTTAATTTTCAATATGATCCTTCCTACATGCTTGCGCGATAAAAAGTTGTTAACGGCTGCTTTTAGGCCACCACGTGCCATCATTTTTTTTTAGTGATCCAAAGAGATAAAAGACAGATGGAGCAAACTCCTAGCGAGGATGGTCTATCTCAACGAAGCTGTATTTGCACAATTGTTCTAATTTTGGCAGTGTTATGCACGGTCAGCAGAACCATTTTTTTTTTGTTCAGGTTTCAACAGTCATGAAACCCTCCTTACGCATGTTCAAATTGTCTACAAGATGGTTATAAGCTGGGTTCTGATAAATTCAATGCCATATTAATGGTAGAGACCCTCACACGATGATCTTCGACAACCATGGCTTCAACATTTTCACCTACTAGGATTGTTTCGACCAACATACTCAGCAGCCATTCTCTCAAGAATTGTTTTTGGATGATGACCCCTTTTGTCAGAAACTTTATGACACTGCAATACTCTAATTTTAAGTTGCTAATTTTTCTTCACAATTCATATTATAAAATAATCTGATTATCGAAATTAAATCAAATTTTGCAAGTAAGCTATGAACACATGCCACTATTTGACATATTATGCTAGAGTAATGCAATTGTTTTTTCATGATTCCGTAGATTTTTTTTTTGGTGGAACTTACACAAGTCGTGACCAAAAATGAAACATCACACACAGGACCGCATTTCAACGGGGATCTTCTATGTAACATTTTTTTCTCGACGGCTTCATTAAAAAAATAAGGGGTGTTGAAGTTTAAAAATAAATAACATTTTTTTTAATATCTTCATGATTGTGGGATAAATCTGATCTACGAAACAGATAATGACTATCCGATAATTTCAAGGCCTATCTAGAAAATTCTATTTTTTTTTTGCTAAACTAAGGTTTAGCAATGTATGACATGATACATTTTTGGAATCAGAATTGAAAACCATTTTATTATTCACCTGTGCAAAAATCCAGTGTGGCAATGTTGATGTGCAATTTATATTAAAATCCCAGTACAAATGAAGTAAGGAAATGATTGAAAACGATTTTTGACAAATGCGATCTTTATTTCTGAGATCCTAATGGTGAGCGTCGGATTTGAAACAACCTGTATATAAACTAAATAAATCAATTGAAAACCAGGAAAAATATAGTGAACTTCGAAGCAAGGCCTTACATTCATTACGTAAAGAAGAATTAGGCAGCAGCGGTGGCCGCAGTAGACTCTTCGGTCTCCTCATCGGTCGCCGTGCGCTGTGCGGATTCGAATCCCGTCCCAAGAGAAATTTTTTTCTTGGCTATAGATGTTGTGGTTGTCCGTAGGTGGTAGATGGTCTCTGACTGTCGAACGCGGAGGTACCACCCGGCGGATCTCGTAGGCGGAGCTAGAATGTGTGCATGTTGCATGCACACGTATTCCCTCGCCAGAGTCCGTGTGGCGTCCCCCCTTTCCCCTGTATCCCCCTATAGCCCCACGTACCCAATGGGTGTTTAGGCCTTAGGCCTTCGTGGTAGTCGGAGTATAAAAAAATGGAATGAACCAAATTTGGTATGTGGATTTATCTAAGTATTGTCTTCACTTAAACTTAACGTGCACCAGTGGCGGAGATTCAGGAGATTAGTGGTATTATTTTTTCAAATAAAAATAGTATGCCAGTTTTTTTTTCGAAACGCGCAATTTTTCGAATTCTACCTTCAATTTGCTACAAATAATTTCTATTTCTAGAAAATCTGTGTTGAACCGAGTGGATAGAACTGGGATTTTCTAACGACCAAATATACTAAGTGACATATAAATCCGAACACCCAGTTTAAATGCTTTTATTTTAATAAAAGTTGGTGAATGTATTTATCTTACTGTAAATAACAAGTGAAAAATTTTCAGCCTTGTCAGTTGGACATTCCGATTTTTATACTGCTTTTTTTAATTCACTGACGCTCTAAAAATGAATATTTCAGCCGCAGTAAAGAATCAACGTTGGCGGATTTTGGTTCTTGACATCCTTTACGATCGGTTACGATGCCTTGAGTACGGAGACCTGTACGATTTCGTCAACTTAGTGAGTTTGATAGGGGCCGTATAGTGGGACTTCGGGAAGCTGGACTCTCTTTTCGGGCAATTGCAGTTAGAGTGGAAAGAAGTGTAGACACTGTGGTTAGGTGTTGTCAGGCATATCTTCGAAAAGGCCATACGCAAAGAGTAAGGGGCACTGGACGCCGCCGTAGAACAACAGACCGTGAAGATCGCCGCCTAAGATTATTGGCCTTAAGGGACCGTTTCTCCAATACCAGGTCCATTGCAAATGAATGGTTTGCAGAACACGGAAGACCTATTGGCATGCGAAGTGTTTACCGATGAATGAGAAGTTTTGGCTTGTTTTCATACCGGCCACACTGGGTCCTCCCTTTAACTCGAGAACACCGACGTAATCGCCTTGAGTGGTGCAGACAACGGTCACTCTGGGATCAGGAATGGAACAGTATTGTCTTTAGTGACGAGTCTCGATTTTGTTTAGGCATGCACGATGGCCGTGCCAGGGTTAGAAGGCGACGTGGTGAAAGGAGGAACTCACAGTTTTTTGTTGAAAGACATGTTCATCACACTGTTGGAGTTATGGTTTGGGGTGCTATAGCTTATGGTTCCAGGTCACCTTTAATCTTCATCAGAGGTAACATGAACGCGCAGCGTTATATCTACGAAGTTCTAGAACCCCATCTGTTACCCTATCTTGACACCCTGGCAGATCCAACTTTCCAACAAGATAATGCCCGACCACATGTTGCAAGAGTCACAATAGACTTCTTTCAACATAATGATGTCACATTGTTACCATGGACACCAAGATCTCCCGACTTATCCCCAATTGAGCACGTGTGGGATATGATGGGTAGGAGATTGCTGAATTTGCAACGACCTCCTCAAACTCTAGAAGCACTTCGAGAGGAGTTGGTGGTTGCCTGGAATGAGATACCACAGGAGGACATTGACCACCTGATCAGAAGCATGCCTAGGCGCGTTGGAGAATGCGTAGCACATCAGGGTACATCCACACATTATTAAAGGCCAAAGGGCTTTAAAGCAGTGCAATCATTTTGAAATTTTTATCATTTACTTATTATGCTTCATTAAGTACTTATACAAAATTTTATTAAAATAAAACCATTTAAACTGGGTGTTCGGATTTATATGTCACTTAGTATATGTTCATTGAAATTTAAAGGTTCCACTTCCACTTCTCGTAAAAAGCGATTCATTTGACCACAAAACCACATCAAAATCTGCATTTCAATTAAGCATTTACAGTAACCACTCACAAAAATGTCGCCATTGCACTTTGTCGCCGGGTTGCAGATATTGCACATTTTTCCGATGGTAAGGATGTAAAACTTCCCGATTTTACAAGCAAGACTTTGTGAACTTGGTAACTGGGCTGCAATCTGCCTAGTACTTGTACTAGGGTCATCCAACGCCAAATTAGTCACTTGCAGTTAATCTTGAAAAGTATGCCGGACATCATGGCCTCTAACTCCGGGAAGTTTGGCAATTCCATTTTGCCTAAGTGTTAGAAATGAACGCGTAAAAACCTTTGGGGTAGGTTGGAGTCTGTTAGGAAATCTACGTTGATACTCCCGAGAAGCTGCTTCAGCATTTCCATTACAGAAATTCCATTTCACAACACTCAAAAATGGAAAAAAGAAACTTTTGACTTTATAAAAAAAAAGGTAATAGTAATGATAACAACCGTATAACACATATGTAACGTTGACAAAATCGTCAATTTGGTATCAGGGCCTCCTTTTTTTATTTTGCAACTAATCTGCTCTTCATCTATTTTTTTTTATTTATACAGTGCACTCTAGGAAAAAACAATTAATTTGTTGCAAATTGAAAATAAAATTCGAAACATTGCGCGTTTCGAAAAAAAAACAGTGACGTACTATTTTTTTTTTAAATAATGCGACTAATCCCCTGTATCTCCGCCACTGGCGCACGTTAATTTTAAGCAGAGTTTTGAATGTGGAAAATACTTAGGTAAATACACATACCAAATCTCAATGTTGAGGAAAAAATGTTACATAGAAGACTCCCCTTAAAATGCGGCCCTGTGTATGATGTTTCATTTTTGGGCATGACTTATGAATCACCCTGTATATTCTAAAATATTTAAATGTTAAAATTTCATAGTTGCAGCCAACGTGAAATATGAGTTATTTATACTCTGCTCATTTATTAGGAACCTTCTGGCTTATCCTAAAAAAAGTTGTGGGAATGTGGTACACAAAAAATAACATAAAAACCTCTATGAACATAGGTTCTGAGTTCTGAAAGATTCCATTACTACAATACAGAAGGTCATAAATTTCTACACCACAATCCAAACAATCAGGTTATTTTTTTCTGACAGGAATAAGACAATAAAAAATTCTCAAAAGACAATTCACCCAAAGTTGTATGCCCCAATCAAAAGTTCAATAGATGTTTCAACGAAGCCAATGGCAAAAAGATTTTTCTGCTGATATTGTTTAATACAACAGTGCCACTGTTTCTTGAATTACCCTGGTTATAGGAAATATTGAAATTTACTGGACATCGAAAAATTGTACAATATAATTGCCTTACCTACGGGAATTTTTTTCTCAAGGTATAATTTCCAGTTGTTCGGATTGCCTTCATATTCAGGATGCAAAAATGTTGCATGCCCAAGCCTATCAGGCCCAAATTTCAAGATCTTTTCTATTTCCTCATCATTCCTAATTTCTCCACAATGTATTGATGTTTTTAGTCCACCTTCTCTTGCTTTTTTAAATAAATCTTCATTGAATTCTCCTTCTGCAGGATTGCCACTAAAATCTATTCCTACTATCACATCAGGATACTTCAATTTCATCTTCAATATCACATTTAAGCTATCAAGAGACTGTTCTATGCTATTTCGTCTATCAATAGATAGGATCAGCTTTACAATGATCTCTAAGGGGTTTGCCAGGATAGCCGTCACCACTGCTGCTATGTAGTCTTCCTTACTCATGTCTTGTCCAGCTCTGGGTGTGGTTCGCAGCTCCAAATACACAACATGGTCCATGTGGAAATCTGAGATCACAGATTGTGTAGCTGCGAAAACAGCTTCTACATTGTTGGTGGCATTGTGAGCTATTTTAAACACTTCAAAACATTCAGAGAGACTTCTTTGAGATTTGTTTAAGACTTCTGTCATTCTTTGGTATCCTTTTATTGACGAGTCTAGACATTTCAATTTTTTCAAACATGTTTCAGTCAAGGACCCGTTTAAATGTGCGTGCAACTCCTACAAGAAATTTTGATATAACATGGAGGATACATTGTTTGAAACATGTTGTACTCACGAGTTTTGGGATTTCATGGCAAATTACGTGTAGATCCCCCATAGTAGTTCATTGACTAGAATCAAGATTTCTGAAGTATAATCACAGCTTGTTTTATTGGTTCCTTTTAAATCGTACTCGATAATTATATCACTTCACGTGCCTTCCGTTTCAACTTTTTCAAACTCGTTTTACCGGCAAAACTTTTTTCTAACCACAAAAACAAGTGTCACAACTGTCAGGTGTACGTCAGTCAGTTTTCGGAATTCCTATGCTGCGTTCGTAAAGTGTTAAGCCGCTCCCATACGATGTGGCGAATGCCTTTCAACGTTGGACACATGGCCATTGCCACATCGTGTGGGAGAGCGCTGACGGATTGCATGTGTCCATAGTCCGCCACATGGCACGTTCGAGCACTTGTCGGTAAATTTGACCCGCGTCAAAAGACATTACAATGTTGGAAGCATGGTTCGTTACGCTCCCACACCCACACGAGATGTCATGTGTTTGATGGTTTTAGGTTATAACCAGAACCAGTAGCGGTGACCAACATTATTTATTTGTTTGCTGTGATTGTCGGGAAGTAGTGGTATGTGGGAAGTATTTTGATTTGAATACCTACCTATTCATAATAATGTATGTTCCGTAACTGACTTTTGAGGAGAATGGATTAAATTAGTATACATACAAAGCATAGGCTGCCATAACAACACTTTTCTCATATTGGTAATATTTTGTACGTTTCGCAGGTGAGTTATGGCTGGCCAGGATATGTATTTTAGTAAATTATAAATTATCAAGTAGTAGTAGTAGTAGTAGAAAGATTTATTTAGCACATTTGGCTACATAAACAGAACAATTGTAAACAACTTAGAACTAGTAAATTCAAGCCATATGGTGTATGATGTAAATGCTGGGCAACCTATAATTGTAGATTTAACAAGTGATTTCTCAATTTTACTTTAAATTTTGTCAAAGTTTTCTGGTCTTTTATCTCCGAGTTTAATTTATTATATTCAATCAACCCTTGATGGAATACAGATTTGTAGCATATGTTATACTTTTTGGTCATTAAATGGAAGTCATCTTTATTTCTGGTATTATGTAAATGATGGTCGACATTTGATGATGTTAAATTAGTTAGACTTAATGGAAATATATTATTTTTTACTTTATAAATGAATATCATTACAAGATATTTGATAAAAATTTTTACATTGAGCCATTTTAATTTGCTAAGCATTTGCTTAATTGGAGTATATTTATCTTTATTTAGTATTATTCTTATGCACTTATTTTGTAAAATTTGCAGTCTTTCAAAAATGGAATTATTTGCTAATATAGAATAGTCGAACAGTACAAGAAATTTGGAAGAATGATGGTATTATAGATAATTTTTCTGCTATATGAACTCAGACATCCAGAAACTCTCGATAAATATCCCACTTTACTACTAATCTTATTTATAACTTTTTCATAATGAATATCAAAAATTAATCGAGAGTCAACAAAAAGTGCTTACAGTTGTTTCGTTATAATGTCCTGTTTCAATGTAAGACTATAGTGTGTTTACACCCCAGATAGAATGGATGCGTGATTGCCAAAAGCAAGGACGGCGTACAGAGCCGCATTCAGGGCTACCTCCGAATGATGGACTACCACCAACGTGTTGTAAAACAAAGATGACAGTATTTAACAGAAACAGAAACTTAACAAATTACTCAAATACACTTAACAACAACAACAGCAACAACCAAGCAAGGTGAATACGAAAACACGAGCACGCAGTGATACACGCGACGGACGGTGGCCTGAGTGCAACTCTGCCTGCCCTGCCCCGCGCATTATTCCGCCAGGCGGCCCGCTTGAAATTTAATGGCGAATTGACCAATAAGAGGCGTTGTCCCCACCTGTTACCGAGAGATCGCCCGCTAACTGTTATTATTTACATCTCATCTTGAATTTGGATTCAGTTTAGTTGAGAAAGATATTGACTTCCATTTCATAACTAACGAAAAAGATTAAATAAATGATAACTCTGAAAGTACTAACACGATTTTAATGAAATTTTGACCCTAGGTTACTACTATGAAAATGACGAAAAAAACAGTTTTTGAAAATCGGTACAGTGGCGGTGGAGCTATCTTCGAAAAATAAGCAAAAAACGGTCAAACTTCGTTTTTCGACATTTTGAGGCTTCTGACAGACTTAAGTTTTGGTCGCTGAGGACAGATCTGAAATTATTTTTCGGCGCTCGAAAAAATTGTTTCATCGTTTATTTTGTATAATTTTTCCTTCAGTTGTAAAGGTTCAAGCGCGACACTGACACCGATAATAAACGTTGGCGTCACCATGCGTCGAACGTCCCGAATGGCGAATGCCTTACCGTGTTAGACAGATTGGCCATTCGCCACATCGTGCGGGAGAGCGCTGACGGATTGCATGTGTCCAACGTTCGCCACGTGGTACGTTCGGGCTCTTGTCGGTGAATTTGACCCGCGTCAAAGGACGTTACAACGTTGGAAGCATGGTTCGTTACGCTCCCACACGAAATGTCCATGTGTTTGATGGTTTTAAGTTAGAACCAGTAGCGGCGAAAAACATTATTTACTTGTTTGCTGTGATTGTGGTCGAGTATTTTGATTTGAATACTTACCTATTCATAATAATGTATGTTCCGTAACTAACTTGTGCACTTCGGGCACATCTAAAAACACCATCATGTAGTGCCATTAGTTTTTGACATTTCTTAATATGAAGTCAGACAAAAATAAAATCGATTTGGCCAAATTTTACTTTTTCCTAAATACCTCAATATATGACTAATCTCTCAATGTCTGCAATGTGCGCAATTTATTTGAAAAAACATAGGCTGTCAAACCTAGCACACAAATAGATGAGTATGCAAGGCTCACCTAGTTTTGCTGCACATGTATGAGACACTTGACACCCACATCACAACACTAAAACACCACTGAGAGACAATCGAGCACCCTATAGTAAACACCACTATTAAAAAAATGGCTTAACCGAATAGAGCTCTGCACGGATCTGTGAACGTGTGGACATTCCGCAGCGCCGACGGTTGCCGAGAGACTGAAGCGCATGACTGCTGTACCTCGCGATACAGTACGGTCGGGTAGTACAGCCACGCCTCTTTCCAGCTACCACTCCGCGCGTCTGCGTTTTCTTATCTGACAGTATCACAAGCGACTCGATGTTTACGTTGAAGGGAGCGGACGCGCGGAGTGGGAGCTGGAAATGGGCGTGGCTGTACTACCCGGCCGTACTGTATCGCTCGGCAACCGTCGGCGCAGTGTCTACGCGTTCATGGCTCCGTGCATAGCTCTATTCCGCTGCTTTCTTTTAGTAGTGATGTTCACTATAGGGTTCTCGATTGTGTCTCAGTGGTGCTTTAGTGCTGTGACGTGGGTGTCAAGTGTCTCTAAAGTGGAATTTAGGTCTACTTCCAACTCTTCTGAGGGAAACAGGATATCTGTGCAGCAATCTAGGTGAGCCTTGCATACTCATCACTTGTGTTAGGGCTGATATCCTGTTTTTTTAAATAAATGAGATTTTAATAACGTTGTATAGTAGACGACAACGATATTGCATTGGTTACATTTTTATGCCGATAGTCCATAAAACGTTGATTGCTATTGTAATTAATTATGTAGACATCAGTTTCATACTATTAACCAAAATATACATATGTATATGGTGGTAGCGATGTCAAAGATGTAAAGTTACTTAAATAATTTGCTTGTTGAGTAGCCTTCTTCCAGAAACACGCACTTTAAGATCATTCACCTAAACACATTTCATTTCACTTTCACACTGTCTTCTTCATTTAAAAAATGTGCTACGAAACTTAATCGTTTTCTTCCGAAGAATACGTTCCCAAGTACCGCTCTGCTGCATCGCGGTGGATTTACCACCTGCGTGGCGGGTTCGGGGGTTAAGGTATCATAGCACAGTCACATTATGTGAACTTGTTGCTACGACAGTATCGAAATATAATGTTTAGATAAATAGATATTTTCAATTTATTGCATCCATGGCAATACCAATGTAATAGGTACACGTATGCACATCAATGGGTGGAGTTACAACGAAAAAGTAAAAAAAATGTGTTTTCTTGACTATCATATCTTGTACGTCGTATATTTTTGATGACTTCGTGTTGTCCCGTTTGGTCAATCCATTAAATATATAGGGTGTCCGCAAAGTTGGGGTTTTCCTTTACACGACGTGTAGATCTTGAAAACATAAGCAATTTTTCTTAGTACCATATACACCAATGTCTTAAGGGAACCGAGATAAAGGGCTCTGCAACATCAAAAATATCGGAAATACCGTCCTGTAGCCGCGACATCACCGACTGGTACAAGGTCACTGGCTCAACCCGACGACAGAACTGGGTCGGGGTCAGTGTGTCAGTCAGTATGCAACCTTCAACCGACGGTTACTGTCACGCGTGTAGAGGTAATCGCGTAGACGAGAATCCCTCAACAAGCACTAGAGACGTGGCTAGAGAAGTGCAAGTATCAAAACTAAAGTGTGGCAAACGCTGCGTGAAGAGGGGCTGTATCCGTTTCACGTCCCACGTGTACAAGCCCTTCAACCTGACGATTTTCCAGCAAGAGTGCGGTTTTGTGAGTGGTTGTTGCATCAACAAGACAATAATGCGGACTTTTTGAAGTGCATATTGGTGACAGACGAATCTACGTTCGTAGGGGGGTGAATAACTTTCGCAACACTCATGTTTGGTCAGTAGAAAATCCGCACGCTGTCCGTCGGGTACATTTTCAACAAACATTTTCGGTGAATGTTTGGGCTGGCATGGTGAACGGTATGCTCATTGGACCATTTATTCTCCCAAATCGATTGGACGGGATGCAATACCTAGACTTTTTACGCAAAATTTTACCTTCCTTGTTAGAAGATGTGCCATTAAGTGTAAGACAATGTGGTTTCTGCGTCTGCTCGATAGCGCTTCAGCTGATTTCATTTTCTGTTGGAGCGGTACGATTTCGGGCAGAGACGTACTTAGCCCTTCTCGTCAACTGGAGAGTGAGTACTTTTTCCTTTATTTTTTTTTACTTGGTCGCCCTCGTTTCACTACACATTACCTTTGTTATTTCAAGGGTAGTTGTTTCTGAAAAGGAAAACCCCAACTTTGCGGACACCCTGTATATTGGCGAAGAAAATAATCCACCCACGTGCGGCATAAGAATAGCTGATTTTAA